AACATATTAAAAATGCACCTGAAAGCTGGTGAATATGCTACTGAAACCCTCCCCTAAGATTCTCGCTGCAGGGGGAAAAAAAAAAAAAAAAATATATATATATATATATATATATATATATATATATATTTCTTAGGACAAAGACTCAATGTTCTTGTCTTCTTGGGGGTAAGATTTCAATCAAGAGACAAAATGTAGAAAAGCAAGCAAGAATTTATTGACTTGGGGTCAGGGATGGGGATGTGTTTGGTAAGGGCTGGGAGGAAGGGGGGTAAAGGAAAAGATGGGGAAATGGGAGATATCTTTAATACTGTTAGGGCAAAAATAGAATATTAGGACTAGCTATGGTTATGAGAAATAGTAATCATGCTCTATTAACTATGGTTGCCTTGTGTTGGTTAAAAAGGGACTTTCTGACCTGCTGGGAGCTGTAGGCCCCAGGACCTGGGAGTCAACCTTGGACCTGGGAATGAACCTTGGAACCATTCTCATTCAAGAACTGCCTATCATGGAAAGATTAACAACCTGGTTGCACAGACAATGGAGTTCCACCCCAGCCTCCTATTTCCCTAAACCTGTAATCCCTACTTCCTCATGTAATCCTTGTCCTATCCTATACTATGCTAGAGGCCCAGTGCAGGAAAATGTACACAGGTAGGGTCCCTAGGCCTACACTATGCTCAGGACCATCTTCCACCTGCTCACCAGTCCCCAGTCCTGCCTCGCTGCCTCCACCCACTCAGGTTCCCCGTGGTTCCCGGTTGGCCATCCAGCAATTGGAGCCTGCAGGGTGCTGGCAGGGACCTAGAGGTGGTCAATGACCTCAGAGTGACTTGTGGATAGGTAGTTCCTGTCATTACACTGTGCGGTTGCTGGTCTTTTATTATATAGGATTAGGGGGTGGGGAGGGGTAGCTGAGAAGGGAATGGAAAGGGTATGTTCCCTAGAGGGCTGGAGGGAGAATGACGGGACCTGTTTTCAGGGGTTTTAAAGGCTGAGCATTTAGGGAAGGTCTTAGGTGTGAACCAAAGTGAGTTTTATTCTCCTGATTTATCTGTTCTTATGGGTGGCAATTGGCACTAATCGGGTTTCTGTTATCTGTCTCCCTGGAGTAGGGTGATTTAAGCTATTTACCCTCTAGTTGGGGAGAAATGCAAACCATTTACTCTTAAGCATCATTGGTTGGGGAAAATAGGACTTCCTAGGTGGCTACAAACTGCTGTCTTAGTTTCCCTATTCTGCTTGTCCTGGAATTTTCCTAGCTTCTTACTATTCTACAGCAAATACAGGTCACTCTAGAGCACACCCATTCCCCTGCCCAGGCATGAACTTTTGATTTCTAAGGGTCCCCATGAAACTTGCAGCCAGGGGCGCAATGGGCAGGGCAGCTTGACCAGGCTCACCCCTGATCCTGTCTCCAAAGCCCCCTTTTCTCTGACTTCCCCGTGACCTAACAGCAGCCCTATCTTGGTTTACTTCTTTTTGATAACGTTTCTAAAAAGCCAAAGCAGAGCCCAGCCTAAGCTCCCCTGTTGTTTCTTCTACCCTGACTTCTTCCTTTGTTTCATTGTCCCAGCATTAATAAATATCCTCTCAAATCCATCTGGACTGGTGTTGTGAAATCTTTCCTACACGAAGTCAAGAATCCACTCACCACAGGCTGGCTTGAGGCCCCTGTCTCTCCAGTAACACCTTTCACACAAACCTGGAAGGTTAAAAGGAAGATTGGCTTTGGAGAACAAGATAATGAATTAATATTAGATTTACTTTTAGTTTCTTGGACCTGTGAGTTTGATATTCCAGAGGAAAATATAGGTAAAGATTCCTTTGAGGCATCTAGGAATGGGGAAACCCTAGCTTGGGAGAGAATTAAGGTCAAAGCCATTCATGTGGGTGTCACAGTCATAGAAATGGGAACAACTGGGATAGTCAAAGCAGAATGTAGTTTACAAAGAGAAGGGAGGTTGTAAAAATGAAAAAAACAAAACCTGTTGCTCTTGCCCTTGGGGTAATATAATAATTTAGAGATATATTTCTCAAACTTGGAAAATAAAAGCATGGCTATCCTATTAAGGGAAAAGATTTTGATTTCTTAGATCCTAATGAGTTCAGAAATTTAAATACTTTTCCTTTAGTTCACTCAATACCAATACAATGGATAACATTACCTTAACCTAGTATTTTGGAAGTTGTTGACTGAGTGTCTAAGATTGTTACCGAAATTATTTAAAATGTGACTGTATTACTGTTTTAAAGTTGACCTATACTAGTAAATTATATACAGTAAGTAATACAGACGACGCAATGAACAGGTCTTCATTGTCTTAGTTTGATGAGTTTTGACAAATATATTAAGCAATGTTCCCTACACCCCTATCAAGATGCAAAACATTTCCATTACCTCAGAAAATTCATTTTTTGGCCTTCACCGTCAATCTCTACCTTCCCTCTAAGGAAAGATAATGTCATTCACCATAGATTATTTTCACCTACTTTAAAATTTCACATAAATGAAATCATACTCTTTCGTGTCCAGCTTCTTCCACTCAGCATAATGATTTTGAGATTAATTCATGTGGTTCATTTCTTTGTATAGCTGAGCAATATTCCACAGTATAGACATACCACAATTTGTCTACCCATGTATCTGTTGAGAGATGTTTGGGTTGTTTCCAGTTTTAGGTTATTTGAATTGAGCTGCTCTACCAATAGCCTTGTGTATGTCTTTAGGGATATACTAGTATGTTTTCATTTCTCTTGGGTAAGGACCTAGAAATGGAATTCCTGGATTAAGGAGTAGGTATATATTTCATTTTATATAAACTAGAGGCCCGGTGCACAAATTCATACATGAGTTGGTCTGGTTGGTGGGTGGGAGGGGCCATGAGTGGTTGGTCTGCCAGCCCTGCCCTCAACTAGGGTAGGGGTGCCAATCTTGGGGGTCCAATTGGGTGGAGGGGTGCAGGTGGTTGGCTGGCCAGCCCCACCCCCTAGTTGAACTCCCTGTCAAGGAGACAATTTGCATATTAGCCTTTTATTATATAGAATTGCCAAACAGTTTATCTAAAGTGGTTTTATTATGTTATATTCACACTAGCAGTGAATGAGTATTCTAGTTGCTCAAAATGTTTGTTAGCATCTGATGGTATCAGTCTTTTTAACTTTAGCCATTCTCTTAGGTATGTAATGGTATTTCACTGTTATTATAATTTACATTTCCCTGATGTTGAGAATCTTTCTGGTACGGGACTCCAAGGCTTCACAGCTTGGGATATTCTATTTAAGGTCAAGACTTGATTGTCCTTAGGTAGTTTTATTTACTTTCAGCAAGTAAAGGAGATAGGGGAATTCACATCCAAAGCTCTGTCTCCCAGAAGGGAGGCTTAGCCATTGCTTGTATATACTATTTGGTAAAATCTACATTGACTTCTTTGGAGTTGGCAAAACCTATTAGATTTGGTTCTGGTCAAGCTCATCTGGTTACAGCTGAGTCTGCAAAATAAACTGTGCTACATTTTAATATTAAGAACTATCTAGAACTTGAGACCCTTGTCCTGGGTTACATTTTGATGTGATTATTCTGTGTTTTCATTTTGTGACATACCTGTTCAAAACTTATGTCCACTTTTTAAATGATTTTTTTAAATCACTGAATTGTAAAAGTTCTTTAAATATTCTGAATATTAGTTCTTTGCAGATATAGGTATCAAGACCATTTCTCCAGTCTGTGCTTTTCTGATTCATGTTTTAAATATTATCTTTTGATGAACAGACCTTTAAATGTTGTTGAATTTTAACTTATCCATTTTTTATTATTTTAAAAAAATATGTTTTATTGATTTTTTTTTTTTTTTTTTTTACAGAGAGGAAGGGAGAGGGATAGAGAGTTAGAAACATTGATGAGAGAGAAACATCAATCAGCTGCCTCCTGCACACCCCCTATTGGGGATGTACCCACAACCAAGGTACATACCTTTGACAGGAATCAAACCTGGGACTCTTGAGTCCATAGACTGATGCTCTATCCACTGAGCCAAACCGGTTAGGGCATAACTTATCAATTTCTTTAAAAATTGTAAGTTCTTCATTATTCATAGACTCTCTGCATGTCACATAGAGTTTACCGTGTGCCAGGTGTGGACTCTAAGTGTTTACCGTGTGCCAGGTGTGGACTCTAAGAGCTAAGATATATTTTTAGGTTCAACTGAATAGCAATTTTGTTGTTAAATTGTTAGAGAGCCATAATCCGGAGCAGTAGTTCAAAATTTAATTGAGCATATTCATCATCTTTGAAATAGTTAAAAGATTGTGCTCCATTCCTTCAGAATGATGTTTCATTTGATCTCTAAGTTGGTAATGTCTGGCCAAACTTATGGCTTACTCACATGCCATTTTCTGGAACAGAGGGCAGGAGACTATTAGTGAAAATGACCTGTTGCATTTGAGTTTCTGCATGCTGTTACCACCTGCCTTGTACTGACCTTTGAAATGGTTAAAAAGCACTGAGGGGAAAAGCTAGAGGAAAGTTTGCTAAACAGATTCCGTTGTAATGAGGCTTAATAATAAAACATTTCAAATCAGGAATCAGTTGCATAGTGTGAGTGCTTTCCACAGGCTGGCTCTTGCTTTTCTTCTGCAACAGAAAATTGCAAAGTCCTGAGAGGTTTTGTTGCTGTTGTTTCTTTAAAAAAAAAAAAAAAAAAAAAAAAGTTGGTTCTCCTAATGGTCTTGCTAATGGACCCTCACTAGTCTGGCCATTGAACTGGAAACTTCTCATTGGGTATTTTCAAGACTGCTACGGGGAATCAGCTGCCAGTTTACTGCAGTGTTGAAATCTGCACGAGTTTCTGGGATTGGCATCAAAATGCTAATTTAAAAGGTCGCGTGAAAGCTCACGTTTTCCCTGCCTGCACTCCGGCAGAAAGAACAAAGACCCAGCCAGTGGAGACCAGAGGCTGAAACTCACCCCAAATCTGTTTTCCCGAGATCATTTTGGAACCATGCCCGAAATGCCGGAGAACATGGAACAGGTAAGCGCTAACAGTTCAGGAAACGAGGCATTCCAGAGTTAGACTTTCTTAAAAAGCAGCTTGGTGGGTGTCTGCTAAAAGCCGAAATGCACGGTGCCATTCAATTCTTTAAAACATAGAGCTGTGGGACATGAGAGAATAAACTAACTTTAATTATGGACTCTGTATGGAGAACTCGGCTAAGTCTCATTAATGGACATAAAAATAAAAAATGCAGAACATAACAGCAATTTCGTTTACACGATTAAATGCATTGCTGCAGGTGAAGGGCGTGTATAAGTGAGGATTTTATCCACAGTGTCCTCTCCAGCCTTTCTTTGTCTCGGCGTGAATGGAGTCTGCTAACATAAAACTTTTAGCTCCAGGTTGCTCTCTTTAAATTTATGGACTTAGCCACAACACGAACTTGAATAGTGCCTGTATAATGATGGGATATATATATCTATTTTTTCCCCCCACATAAATACTTTCCTCTTTAAAGAGAACGATTACACGCCCATGTGCCCCTCGAACTACCCCACATTTTTTTCCTGCAAATATCACAAACTAGATTCTCAAATGCAGGCAGTAAACTTTTTGTTTCTCTCTTCTCTGAGAATCCAAGGGCTAATTGCATGGGCTTGCCCTTAGATCTTCTTCACATTGAATACTTCATTTTATTTTTTATAGATTAGATGGCAACTAGAGACTTTTTAAACACTTCCTAGTTTTTAAAGTGAGAGCTAAGAAGATCTGGAATCTTCCCCTCAGCCTCCCCACTGCCCTTTACTTTGTCCTCTGCAGGTCAGGCAGGTTTGGGGCTTGGGCAGTGCTCTCACTGTGAATAAATGCTGAAGTGATCAACAGTGACAGTCTGGATGAAAACAAAAACCGAAAAAGTGAGGGTCTGAGGGCTCTAATATTAACTGTTCCTAAGACACCACGTTCACACCAATAAGGAATGAGTTCTTGTATGTGTGTGTGTGTGGGGGGGGGGCGGGGGGACTGGGTAGGAAAGTCACAGGATTATTGCAAAAGGCTGCTTCCACTCTAAAGCAAAAAGGGTTTTGAAAATAGGACTGTATTTTGAAGTGAAAGTCACTTGATTTTTCACTTTGAAAAGCGTGATGCAGGGTGCTCAGCATTATTCTCCCTCCCTTCTTCAACTCTTGGTCCTACTTTTTTTTTTAGCATCCCAGAAAGAGGTGGCGATGACTCATTTGCTAACACTTGTGTTTTTCTTGTCTCTCTTCTGAATCTGTCAAAAAAAAAAAAAAACCCTCCTAAGGTTCCAGGGATATATGTCCATTGTGCTTTCTTTCTCTCTCTTACCTAACCCCTCTCCTCCCCCCGCTATGACTTCATAAAATATCTTATCCCACTTTATATATGGCATGCCCAGTTGATTTTTTAAAATTATGTTTTTCAATTGCACTGTATATTCTATATTATTTTTGTATTTGTATTCGTTTCAGATTGATCCTTTATGCACAGCGCTGTCTGTCTACACACTTAAAACTCCACTCGATCCAATTCAATCCTTCCCTAGTCAAGAAAAAAAAATAAAGGGGAAAATAGATAACATAAACAGCCTTCCTCCTCCTGCCCCCAAACAAAGCTCGTATTCATGGCTGGAGGCCAAGGCCTTTGTGTTGTTGTGTCCCTTTAACAGTTGGCGCATGGGCGGAGAGCTCCCCGCCGGCGTGCCCGCCCCTTTCCGGGGCTTCCGCCTCGCGTGGCCAATCAGCGGGAGCGGCCTTGGCAGCGGAAGCCGGAAGCTGTGAGCGGGTCGGCCGGGAGCTAGGGGAGGCGGGCCGAGGGCCTCAGAACGGCGGCGGCGGCGGCGGCGGCTGGCGCGGTCCCGGGCTGGAACCTGAGGTCGTCGCTGCCGCGGCGAGCGGAGGCGGCAGGCATGGTGGGGCGGGAGAAGGAGTTCTCCATCCACTTTGTGCCCGGGCACTGCCAGCTGGTGGAGGTGAAGGGGGCGTCTCGGGGGGGTCTCGAGGGAGCCGGTCAGAGGGAGGGTTTCCCAGGTGCCCCGGCCGAGGCGCCTCGGGGCGGGCCCCGCGCCGCCGCCGCCGCCGCCGCCGCCTCAGCCCGGGAGCCCGGGGCGGCGCCGCGGGGGTTGTTTACCTCGGCCGGCGCCCTCCGGTTCGTGCCGGCTTTCCCTCCCAGCCCCCGCGGCCGCCTCCGAGGAAATCCCCTCCCTTTGGAGCCTCTCTTTCCCTCCAGGAACGAAGAGGGATTTTCTGAGCTGTCTCGGTTTTGATTCTACCTCTTAATTTTATTTTTTATTTTTTGGTCCTTTGTTCTTACCCGCTGGTGCCGTGCCTCTTAGGGGATAACAGTCTGGGAGAGGACAACTTGAGCTCCTAGTTGACACAGGACACCATGTTGTGCGTTGTAATCTTCGTAACGAGGAGGTTGATGTCGCTCCCACGTTACGGAGGGGGAAACTGAGGCTCAGCGGGGATGCCCCTGGCCCGCGGTCACGAAGCTGCGGTATTATAACGGGGGGTTGGGGGCCTTGAACGGCGCCGGAGGGCTTTTTTCAAGTGCTTGGGGCGACCACCCGCGACCACCCTTCCTGGTGTTCTGCCCCAGCACTCATCCGAACACGGAAAATATACCTAAACCATAGCTAGCTCCGGGGGTGAGGCTGGTACCTTGCCCAGACCCATACGTCTTATGGATCCGAGAAAGGATATAATAGGACCTGTCAGTTTCAGAGAAGGCAGCATTGTAGCTCTTCTAAAAGGTAGCATATTTAGCCAAAACCGGTGTGGCTCAGTGGATAGAGCGTCGGCCTGCGGACTGAAAGGTCCCGGGTTCGATTCCGGTCAGGGGCATGTAAGTTGGTTGCGGGCACATTCCCGGTAGGGGGTGTGCAAGAGGCAGCTGGTCGATGTTTCTCTCTCATCGACGTTTCTAGCTCTCTAGCTCTCTTCCTTCCTCTCTGAAAAAAAAACAATAAAATATATTTAAAAGGTAGCATATTTAGTATGACTGGGATTTGGGAGGAGGTAGAGTTAGGGGGGAAATGGTCTGTTTAAACTGCTATGTTGTCCCTGTGTAACCCCGAACAGGGCTGGGGTGTGGGGGGGGGGTACATGTTACCTAGCGTTCGTGTTTGTTCATGTATTATATATCTGCATACTCTTCACAGTAGGAGTTCACTAGTGTAAACTGGTTTTCCTTCAATTAAAAAAAAAAAAATGGCACATCCAAAAGCTTGGGACGCATTTGCTGTTCTCAAAACGTGTAGAGTTGCCCTTCGCTGGTTTGGCTCAGTGGGTAGAGCTTTGGCCTACCCAGCGAAGGGGTCCCAGATGGATTCTGGTCAAGGGCAGGCACCATGGTTACAGGCTGGGTCCCCCTCCCGACCTGTGGGAGGCAACCCATCAGTTCATGTGTCCCTCTCACATCCATGTTTCTGTCTCTCCCCCCTCCGTTCTGTTCTCTTTAAAAACCAAATATCGTTAGGTGAGGATTAACAAAACAAAAACACTATAATAAAAAAAATCTGCGGAAGGACAGTTTAGGTCAGCGAAGCAGACTAGTGGTTTCTGTTAATACTGGCTGGGGGTGGGGAGGGGGAGTACTGTAGGGTGACAGGAGTTAGACCAATGTCATCTAAGTAATCACCTAGAAGTCTCCCAGCCCAAGAATGAATGATCTGTGCCTTGAGGGGAAATCTTGGGGTCAATTAAAGACAATCTGAAAAAATTGCAAAGTGTTGTTATGTTTACCACTAACTTGTGAGAAGATCCCTCCTTAGGTATTAGTGATTTTTCACCCTACTTTTTCTCTGACATGCTTAATTCAAGTGTGTGAAGATAGAAATCACTGTCACAGAGTACAGTTTGGGGTTATTCTGAAGGAGCCATTTATCTTTCATTATTACAATTTGGTATTTGATTAGATAGCCTAATAATAATGGTAGTTCCACATCTATAATGATAAAAGCACAATTTGCTAATTAGACTGGACGACTTTCCGGAAGAAGCCAGGACTGTGAGGGAAGCCCGGGTCCCGGGTGCCAGAGGGAAGCTGGTGCCGGAGGAAGGAAGGCCTATTGCACAAATTTTGTGCATTGGGCCTCGAGTTTAGTTAACATAATGTGTCTACCTTTTCAAGAGTTTTTTCTTCGTATCTGTAACTGTGGCATCTGATATTACTAAATTCGGTACATCTAAGATTTTGTACAATAAGAAATAAATATGTTCAGACTAACTTAAAGTGATGGTTTGATATAATTTACCTATAGGTAATAAAAATTGAGAATTTTTAGGGTCACAAAATAATTTTCAGCTCTTTTTAAAAAAAATAGATTTTATTGATTTCTTACAGAGGAAGAGAGAGGGATTGAGAATTAGAAACATCAATTCAGCTGCCTCCTGCACACTCCCTACTGGGTGATGCCTGCAACCAAGGTACATGCCCTTGTCCGGAATCGAATCCGGGGACCCCCCCCACCCCCTCCCCCAGTCCACAGGCCGATGCTCCATCCACTGAACCAAACCGGTTATGGCATTTTCAGCTCTTGATTGTGGTGTTGATAGAACTAGACAGTTTTTATTCTTCCATTCTGAGTCCCTCAGGGTGTTGGGATATTCCTGTGTTTTGCAGGATTAAATTTATATACAATAGTAACAGTCTAAAGTAATTTTCAGAGGAATATTTTCGTTTTTAAAAGAAAAAAGAAAAACCGTATGCTTTCAAAAGCTTTAGTAGAGTTCTGTTTATATATAGAAACTCAAAAATAAGTTATTTTTGATTGGCATCTTTTTATTTCAGAGTGAAACATTTTATTTGCCACCCACCAAATAAACTTATAATCCAAACTAGTGGCCTGGTGTACAATTTTTGCAGGGTGGGGGTGGGGAGAAGAAGGGTCCCCAAGCCTGGCCTGTGCCCTCTTACAGCCCCCTGATCTTTTACCCCAAAGAGGTAGGAGCCACAAAGGATTGAGAAAAAACTCATTAGGTATTTGGCTGGACCATAAAAGCAAGAAGACCCAAGTTCTAGTCTTCACCTTTTCCTTTTATTGTGGACAAATCCTTTAATATCTCTGGACTTTAGGTTCTTCCTTTTGGAAATATAGCTGCCTTGCCTATAACTAGGCTGTTAGGAACTAAAGGCATGGTGTATCGATAGGTTTATATGACATTTGGTGGTTTTCAAATATAAGTTTGTGCAGAATCATTTATATTTCAGGAAGTGCTTGTACTTCTGATCTCTGCTCTTTTAATAAAAAGAAACTTAATTTTAAGTATTGACATATGACCATATTGTCCCAGGGTATAGGGCATAAGTTTTCCACGCATCTCCCATCCTTTTTTAAAGTTGTGTACGGTAGTATATTCTCTAAAGAGTCTTGCTGTGCTTGTAACAATGCTGCATTTCATCAAGTCTAAGATGCTCTCAGTTATAAAATCATCTGGGCTCTTTATTTTATGCTGCACTAAAAAGCAGACAGCACAGCCAAACTATGACATTCATAAGATGCATCGCTATTCATTGACATGAGATGTTACAATGAGGGGAAAGAATGCTGTTTCAGAGTCCGCGGATATGCAGAAATTTTAACTTACTGTTCACTGTATGGATTGCATAATGCTTGTTCTTTGACTTCAAATTTTCCTTTTTCAAAAAAAAATATTTTTATTGATTTCAGAGAAGAAGGGAGAGGGAGAGAGAGATAGAAACATCAATGATGAGAGAATCATTGATTGGCTGCTTCCTGCACGCCACCTGGACATATGCCCTGACCAGGAATCAAACCTCAGTCACTGAGTCACATTGGCCAGACTAATTTTTCTTTTTAAGGAGGAAAGATGTTGCTTTTAGAAAGATAGATGGCAAATTTTTTGATTATTTGAATAAGGGAAATTTATTTTGAGAAAAGCCTTGTTCTTTCCAGAAGTTCAAGAATACAGTTCTCAAAGTGCAGTTCCCAAATCTATTCCTTGGCTTCTTTGGAGTGAAGTAAAAAGTGAGAAGCTCAGAAGGAACCACTGATGTGGTTCTTAACAGTATTTTCTCAGGGATGTTTATAGTACTTATTCTGTGTACATCGTTTTTTATTGTAATAGACTTGGCATGTTTTCTCTTTATGTTCAGTCTTTGTAGAACTATTTTCTTGCCAAAATGTAAAGGAAATACTTTGCTGGCTGAAATCCTTGTTTTCATAGATCGTTTGCCTGTGAGCCAAGTTTTGCGAAAGAAAACCTAGATGAATTTTCCTTCCACTTGTAAAAAGTGATGAAATTGGTTAATCTAAGGAAAAAAAAATCCTTAAAGAATTTTTTATTGTTCCTGTCAGCCTTTCATTTCAAATTTTTCCTATGATGGAAATACCTGATTTGGGTAGCCTTTTTTTTTTTTTTTTTTTTTTTTTTTTTTTTTTTTTTTAATGTATAGTCTCCTGAGTTATTCAGCTGAACTAGGGGCTAAGAAAAGATCTTTGGTTAGTGTACTCCTCTTTAAAATTTTGACATCTCAGAATTAGTTGCCTGTAACAACACTTTGAAATAAAAAGTCTTCAGGATGATAAAATTTAATAAAACTAACGTTGCTGACTTTATTCAAGATTTTAGGAGAAATTTGCTGTTATCTTGGTATTATTTCCAAAATAGTAGTTCCTTTTAATTTTTATGTGTAAGGAATTTTTTTTCTTTTTCATAGATGCAACACATCCAATTGAGAATCTTCTCATGTTGTTTTTCTTTTATCCTCTATATCTGTGTTTACTAGTTTAACTGGTCTGTGCAGGTACATTTAAAGTTTTAATTCAGGAACATTTACCAGTTTAGTTAAACTTTGAAAGAATATTAGTGCCAAAAGATAAAATTTATTTTTCCTTCTCATAAATTCCAGTGAAATGTGAATTCTCTTACTCAGACCTATCAAAATATGATTTATCAGTGAAATTTTAAAGAAAGCTTGGGGTTAAAAACTGGGAACCAAAAATGTTAACTTATAAACATTGTTGGAATAAAACTGAAATATTTAATCAGGCCATAAAATAAGCATAAACCTAATTGTGGATTTTATAAATGGAAAAACTTATTATTCATTTGGACATCATTGATTATAAAATTAAGATTTTTTTATTATTATTGTAGGAAATCACAATCTTTTTGACTAGCTAATTCCTTGCCATGTCATCTTAGGTTTTTATTTGGGTGGGGGGTAAGATTATTAAAACTTAAGTGAAGTAGTTATCGATACAGTTGACTGATCTTTGTTCTTAAGACTTGGCTTATAGATATGGGACCTGAAGCAAACTATTATACTCAGACTTGAAGTGGATGATGTTGACTAAATTTTGTTAAGAGAGTGTTTTCAAAGAAAATGCTTTTTCTTTTCCTTCGCCTTTTAGGAGGAAGTTAATGTCCCCAGTAGGCGTGTTCTGATTACTGGTGCCACGGGGCTTCTTGGCAGAGCTGTGTACAAAGAATTTCATCAGAATAATTGGCATGCCGTTGGCTGTGGTTTTCGGAGAGCAAGACCAAAATTTGAACATGTTAATCTATTGGATGCGAATGCGGTTCATCACATCGTTTATGATTTTCAGGTATGATTTCGTCTATTTACTTTAATAAATGTGAAACATATTAAGAATCATCTGGCCTAGCCGGTGTGGCTTGGCAGTTGAGAGTTGACCTCTGTATGAACCAGGAGGTGATGGTTTAATTCCCGGTCAGGGCACATGCCTAGGTTGCAGGCTTGATTCCCAGTGTGGGGTGAGCAGGAGGCAGCATATCAGTGATTCTCTCTCATCATTGATGTTTCTATCTCTCCCTCTCCCTTCCTCTCTGAAATCAAGGAAAAATTAGAAAATAAAACAGAATCATCTGGGTGACATAGAAAATCTAGCTCTTAAGGAATGGGGAGATAGGAGATCAACCGAAAGACTTGTATGCATGCATATAAGCATAACCAATGGATGCAAAAGGAGTGGGAGGGAGGGGCAATGGTAAGATATGTACACATATAACACCTTAATAAAAAAAAATATGAAAAAAAAAGAAGTTAACAAACTTAGACTCTATTAAGCAACAATATAAATACACTTAAAAAAATTTCTCCCCCCCCCCCCCCCCCCCATTGACCTCTCCCCAGTACACTTTTAAGCATGGCAGAGTATATGAAATCCTTAAAATGATTAGGTTCAGACATAGGTTGACAAAAAGACAGAATATGAAGCATTTTATAAAAAATGTATGTTTCTGAAGTACTTTTCTAAGTAGCACTTTCGATACAACTGGATTTTTAAAAAAATATATATTTTTACTGATTTCAGAGAGGAAGGGAGAGAAACATCAGTGATGAGAGAGAATCATTGATTGGTGCCATCTGCATGCCCCACACTGGGGATAGAGCCCGGATCCAGGGCATATATCCTGACCAGAATCAAATGTGACTTCCTGGTTTAACCATTGAGCAAAGCTGGCTAGGCATGTACAGCTTTTTATAATAATGTCTATAAATCTTACAACACTGTAAAATGGACAGTATTTCCATTTTAGAGGTGACAAAGGCTCAGAGATGTTAAATGTTGGCCATGGCCACAGTAAAGTTCCAGAAAACTTCAGTTTCTGTTCTACCTGTAATCAAATTGAAAGTTCATGTTTTTTTCCTAAAAGTAATGGACCAGGTAACACCCACATTAGAATTTTTTTTGGTGAAACTTATTCTTTTTTTTTTTTTTGATTAAATATGTTTTTATTTTTTTTATTTTTTTTTTCTTAATTTTTATTGTTCATATTAATACAAATGTCCCTTCCCACCCCACCCTCTGCCCTTTCCCCACCCCCCATTGTCCTCATCCATAGGTGCACAGTTTATGTTCAGTCTCTTCCCACATCCCCTTCTCCCCTTTTCCCCAAGAATCATCAGTTCACTCCCCTTCCATACCTCTGATTCTATTATATTCAACAGTTAATATTGTCATCAGATTTTTTTTTTTAATTTCCTTGGTTTTTAGATTCACTTGTTGATAGTTACGTATTTGTTGTTCATAATTTTTATCTTTATTTACTTTCTCTTCTGAAAGAACCCCCTTCAGCAATTCATATAATTCTGGTTTGGTGGTGATGAACTCCTTTAGCTTTTTTTTATTAGTGAAGCTCTTTATCTGACCTTCGAATTTGAGTGATAGCTTTGCTGGATAGATTATCTTTGGCTGTAGGTTCTTACTATTCATCACCTTGAATATTTCTTGCCATTCCCGTCTGGCCTGCATGGTTTCTGTTGAGAAGTCAGCTGACAATCGTATAGGTGCTCCTTTATAGGTAACTATCTGCCTAGCTCTTGCTGCTTTTAATATTCTCTCTTTGTCTTTTGCTCTTGGAATCTTAATTATGATTTGTCTTGGTGTGGTCCTCTTTGGATTCCTTTTATTTGGAGTTCTGTGTGCTTCCTGGACTTGTAAGTCTAATTCTTTCCCCAGGTGGGGGAAGTTTTCTGTCACTATTTCTTTCAATATGTTTTCGATATCTTGCTCTCTCTCATCTTCTGGGACCCCCATAATTCTGATGTTGGATTGTTTGAAGTTGTCCCAGAGGTTTCTTACATCATCTTCAATTTTCTGGATTCTCTTGCCTTCTAGCGACTGCAAAGGAGTGTCTTCTGGCTCTTTATGTTCCAAATCTTTGACTTGATTCTCAATTTTCTGGATTCTCTTGCCTTCTAGCTTCTGCGGAGGAGTATCTTCTGGCTCTTTATGTTCCAAATCTTTGACTTGATTCTTGCGATCTTCTATTCTGTTTTTAGGACTCTGTATAATAGTTTTTATTTCAGACAATGTATTCTTTATTTCTTGTTGATCCCTTTTCATATCCTCATAAGTCTCATTTATTTTATTGGCCTTTTCTAGGAAACTCTTGAAAAACCTTATAAGTGTGGTTTTGAACTCTATATCCAGTCGCTTTTTGTCCTCCATTTCTTTCATTTGTGATCTATTTGGTTTAGGCATTTTCGCGGGCAGCTTTCCTGATGGGGCGGGGTTTCAGGGTGGAGCCTACAGCTTTGGCTTTCGTCAGCCCCGCCCTATGCGACTCCTGAGACTCAGGGTCCTTCAGTACTTGTTGTAAGCGCCTCTGAGAGAAAGGCGCCCTCGATTTTCGCCTGCTACCAAACAGTCTAGTCTCTCCCCCAATGGTCCCGAAACTGGGGTTCAGTTCAGTTGGAAGTGGAGTTGGAGGTGGCGTTCAGAGCAGTCTGGAGCCCCTGTCTCCTTCCCGCCAGGCAATCCCGCGGCACAGCCAACCGTCCCTTCTCTGCGCTGCGCCGCCGGGACCTCCTTTCGCCTCTTCCCCGGGGTTCAGCCTTTCAGCCCGGCTCCCTCTGTGTGAGCCTGGGTCCCCGGGGTCTGGCCCAGGCCTGGGGTTCAGAGCAGTCAGAATGGGGGCCAGCACAGTCGGAGCGTTTATCTCCTTCCCGCCAGGGAACGCCCGCCAGGCACTCCGCCTCCCTCCTCTCCAGCTCCGTCCTCTCCGCGCGCCGCGTGTCTCCGTACCTTAGGCTTTTCCAGCTCCTCCGCGCTTCCTTCTGGTTTTCTCCTTGCTTCTCGTTGTAGAATTTCCAGTCAGTCAACTTTCCTGTAGTTCTGGGTGATGTCCATTTTATATTTTAGTTGTATTTTGTTGAAATTGTTGTGTGCGGCGCGGCTAGGTGCCTACCCGAGCAGCCATCTTGGATTTCAGTCTTGGTGAAACTTATTCTTACGCTTCTCTCCCAGCAATTTTAATTCAGTAAGTCAGTTATGGGACCTAGGACTCTACATTTTAAAAAGCACCGCAGATTGTGCACATTCAAGTCTGAGAACAACTAAGACCGTGCTTCCTCAAGCAGTTGTTGAGAAGGAGAGTTTGTATGTGGGGAGGCCAGCCTGTCTGTCAGTGGTCTTCCCAGATCTTAGCTATGGCTCTGCTCCTCTGGGAAGTAGGTGCATTTCTGTCTTGACGTCTCTCACGTGATGGTGAAACCGTCTCTTTATATGTCTGTCTTTTCCACTAGAGGATGAAATCTTGCTCCTTGCACATGCTTAGCCTATAGGTGGTATTCTAAATGCTCAGCTGGGAAAATAATTTTTATAGAAAGTTGATTTGCTTCAAATAAATAGTCTAAGACAGTGGTTGGCAACCTGTAGCTCGTGGGCCATATGCGGCTCTTTGGCCCCTTGGGTGTGGCTCTCCCACAAAATACCATGTGCAGGCGCACACGTACAGTGCCATTGAAACTTTGTGGCCCATGCGCAGAAGTCGGTTTTCGGCTCTCAAAAGAAATTTCAATCGTACTGTTGATATTTGGCTCTGTTGACTAATGAGTTTGCTGACCACTAAAAGATTTGAACTTATGAATTTGATTTGCAGTTGATATTCCTTGCCCTTTAACATAGATTTATTAAGATTTAAGTCATGCCGAAACCGGTTTGGCTTAGTGGTAGAGAGTCGGTCTGTGGACTGAAAGGTCCCGGGTTCGATTCCGGTCAGGGGCATGTACCTTGGTTGCGGGCACATCCCCGGTAGGGGGTGTGCAAGAGGCAGCTGGTCGATGTTTCTCTTTCATCGACATTTCTAGCTCTCTATCTCCCTCCCTTCCTCTCTGTAAAAAATCAATAAAATATATTTTTTAAAAAAATCTTTAAGTCATATTAATCACACAAATAATAGCTCTTTTCTCTCATCTGAATTTGGGGATGTATTTCTAAATATTGTAGTTGACCCACATGATTGTGTGATTTTGCCTAGGGATTGCCAAATTGCTCTTTTCTTTTCAGAGCCTTTATGTATGTATGTATGTATGTATGTATTCGTCACCCAAGGATGTTTTTCATTGATTCCAGAAAGAGAGGAAGGAAGTGGGGAGGCAGAAAAAGGGAAGGGGGAAAGGAAAGAGGAAGGGGGGAGAGAGAAACATTAATGAGAGGGAGAAACATCAATTGGTTGAGCCCCAATCAGAGATTAAACCCTGACCCTTTGGTGAGGGGATGACACTCTAACTAACTGAGCCACACTTGCAGGGTGTCTACATATAATTTTAAGGAAGTTCAAACCTTGAAAAAGGGGAGCATGACAAATACAACGATTCTTTAGTTGAAGGAATGTTGAACTTAACATTGTTGTAGAATTAAATCACTGTTGGAAGGCTGTGGTTCCTCTGTTTTATTCCTTTTTTGGGTTAAAAATCAATGCTTAACTTCCAGCCCCATGTCATAGTACACTGTGCAGCAGAGAGAAGGCCAGATGTTGTAGAAAATCAGCCAGATGCTGCTGCTCAGCTTAATGTGGATGCTTCTGGGAATTTAGCAAAGGAAGCAGGTAATGACTACTTCATAAAATCATTTAATTAAATGATTGCTGAGTTTGTAAATATTAAAGTTGTATAGATTGCTTGTAAGAGATTTGTCCTATATATGATACATTTGAAAATATCACATATATAATCTGTTAAGATTACAGATAAGATTGTTATGTTTTAATTTTAATAAATTATTTTTTGTTGTTTGTAGCTGCAATTGGAGCATTTCTAATCTATATTAGCTCAGATTATGTTTTTGATGGAACAAATCCTCCTTACAGAGAGGAAGATATACCAAGTCCCTTAAATCTGTATGGCAAAACAAAATTAGAAGGAGAAAAGGCTGTTCTGGAGAACAATTTAGGTAAGACACAACAATCTCTTTAGCCCCAGATTTGATTTGGGGATTACTGTTTGTTTATGATGTGGTGTGTATTTAATTAAAAAAAAAAATCAATCAAAGAACAAGTCACTGGAGAAAAATGAAAGAATGTAGTCAATAAAAAAAATAATAATAATTTTAGAAATCTTAGAATTTGTAAATTTCTCCAGGTTTTCCCCAGTATCACTATGTACATAAATATTGTGTATAGGAAAAAAGAAATCATACAGTACAAAATTTTGTAATCTGGTTTTAAAAAATGAGCCATGTCATTTCTCTTATATGGTATTCTGTTATTTGTGTGGGTTTTTTTTTTTCTATGTGTGATTGTGTATACATCTGTATATACACATGTTTGTGCTGATTATAAAAGGTATGTGCCCTCCTTGTAAGACAATTTTGTAAAATGTGAAATTGTAAGGAGTGAAAGTTCTCCATTGCTGCCTCAGAGAAGCACCGAATGTGGTTATTTATACATGCATGTTTTTTTGTGGATTTTTAAAAGGTGTGCATGTTGTTTTATAATGTGTGTGTGTGTGTGTGTGTGTGTGTGTGTGTGTGTGACTGTGTGTCCCTCATATATTTGCATTTCAGTTCAGATGGGAGCCATCATTAAAGTGTCAATTAGAGCCAAAACCAGTTTGGCTTAGTGGATAGGGCGTCGGCCTGCGGACTAAAGGGTCCCAGGTTCGATTCCGGTCAAGGGCATGTACCTGGGTTGCGGGCACATCCCCAGTGTGGGGTGTGCAAGAGGCAGCTGATTGATGTTTCTCTCTCATCGATTTTTCTGGCTCTCTATCCCTCTCTCTTCCTCTCTGTTAAAAATCAATAAAATATATATATTTTTTAAAAGAGTCAATTATCTAGTCAGTTGTAACCCCTCATTAGGACCAACATAAAATCTAAATACATCATAATTCTTTATTCAGTGGTTCCAAGAATTATGTAGTAAATACTCACATACCCTTTATTTTATATAGATTCACCAATTGCCAATGTTTGCCACATGTATTTTATACATAATATTTTTTTCCTGTATTCATTAAGAATTAGTTGCATTTTACTCCAAAATACTTTACTGTGCATCTTCTAACCAGGATGCGCTTTGCATAATTACAATGTAGTTATCACACTCAGGAAATTAAATGTTACTGTCATATAATATACAGTCTATAGAGAAATTTCCCCAGTTGTTCCAATAACATCCTTTATTGCATTTTATTTTATTATTTTTTATAATATTTTTATAAGAGAATGGCTTTGTTCTTTTAAAAATATATATTTTTATTGATTTCAGAGAAGCAGGGAGAGGAAGAGAGAGATAGAAACATCATTGATGAGAAAGAATCATTGATTGGCTGCATGCTGAACAACCCATTCTGGGAATTGAGCCCCAAACCAAGGCATGTGCCCTTGACCGTAATTGAACCTGGGACTCTTCAGTCCAAGGGCCGATGCTCTACTCATTGAGCCAAACTGTCTAGGGCTGCATTTTATTTTCTAATCTAGGATCCAGTAAGGGATCACTCATTACATTTAGTTGTTATGATCAGTTTCATTTTTAATGATCATAATAATGAAGAAAGTATGTGTAAAAATACCTCAAATAGGAGAACATTTAAAGACACTCTAGATTACATTTGTAAATGGGCATTATTACAGTGAGCTGTGTCATTTTGGTCTATTTTAAGTTTTCTATAATATTGTTTAAATCCACATAGTTGGATCTTACATCAAGCCTTAAGAACCAGTCAGCTTTAAAATATTACCTGCTTCATTTCCAGGAGCTGCTGTTTTGAGAATTCCTATTCTGTATGGAGAAGTTGAAAAGCTGGAGGAGAGTTCTGTGACAGTTATGTTTGATAAAGTACAGTTCAGCAACAAGTCAGCGAACATGGACCACTGGCAGCAGAGATTCCCCACGCACGTCAAAGACGTAGCCTCCGTGTGTCGTCAGCTAGCGGAGAAGAGAATGCTGGTGAGAACCTTTGCAAGGAAGATTTTCTAACTTCCATCTTAGTAAAATCCTGTTAATGAGCGGAAGTTAAAGTACTTTATTCCTACTTTTTAATTTTTTTAATAATTTTTTCAATTAGAGTTTTCATTCAGTATTATTTTGTATTAGTTTCAGGTGTACAGCACAGTGATTAGACAATCATATACTTTAAAAAGTGTTCCCCCAATATTTCCAGTACCCAATTGGTATACCATACACAGTACTTATAATAATATATTGACTCTATTTCCTATGCTGTACTTTATAAAGTGCTTTTTTAAAACTGTAAGGAGAATAAGCAAAAATAGTTTACAGATAGATAGTAGGCTATATTTATGAATTATAAAAATATACCCTTGTGTTTGCATTTCTCAAATACTATAGATCCCATCTGTCATTCTTTTATTTCAAGATGACTTGAAAACTTAACTTTATTCTTTGGGTAACAAAGTAATCTAATGTCTTTTAAGAATTTTGATTAAGCACTGTGTAATGTTGAAGAAGATTCTACATAGGAATTCACAATTTCAGGAGTTAAATATTTGAAAGATTAGAGACTTATGTATTTTAGAATATTACTAGTAATATGACTGTACTTTTTTAACATAAAATTTTATATATATATTAAACATGTACTCTGACAGTATTTGATAACGTTATAACTGATTAACTCATCTTGAAAAATGGTTCTATTAAGTATTGTCGTTAGCTTAGAATAATTAGAAATACTCATTATATTGGACTATGTTTCCATAAAAATCTGTAATGATTTTTATGATTCCTGCTAAATAAAATAGTCATTTATATTTTTATTTTAAAAAATTCTCAAGGCTAAATTCTAGAAATTGCTTTTCATGTTAGTTGGGAATATACTTTATTTTAGATATTTTTTGGAGAACATTCCAGAGAGGAGAGATGCATTTTAATTCCTGGGCCTTTTGATTACCTTTCTTGTTAAACCTACCATTCAACTAAACTCAGAAAGTTGAAACTGTTTTGAATGTTGTGTCCTTGTCAGGATCCATCAATTAAGGGAACTTTTCACTGGTCTGGAAATGAACAGATGACAAAGTATGAAATGGCATGTGCAATTGCAGACGCCTTCAACCTCCCCAGCAGTCACTTACGACCAGTAAGTATATGGCATTTAAAGTCTTGCTTTTTCAAATTCCAGAGCTAACAGTATAGTGTGTATTGTTGATAACATTTCCTTGTTGCTTTGGAAGTATTGGTAACTTCCATTTTCTGGTATTAATCACAGTAACCCTCGCTTGTATGTGGCAATTTATATCGCTAATTTTCTCTAAATTATTAGTATAAAAGAGCCAGTCAGTATTGGTGACATTTATAGGAAATGTATTGTCTTTATTATAGCAGCTTTTAAAAAAAATATATTGTATTGCTTTTGTACCGAGAGGAAGGGAGAGAAAAAGTTAGAAACATCGATGAGAGAGAGTCATCGATCAGCTGCCTCTTGCACACCCCCTACTGGGGATATGCCCGCAACCAAGGTACATGCCCCTGACCGGAATCGAACCCGGGCCTTTCAGTCCCCAAGCCGACGCTCTATCCATTGACCCAAACCGGTTTCGGCTCTTATAGCAGCTTTTAAAAAAAAATATTTTTTCAGGGATCAAATAAGATTTGTACTAAGAGCTAAATGAAGTAGAGAATATAAAACCTCAACATGTAGCCTTTCATGTATTTTTCATGTTTTCTTTTTATTTTTCTTTCAAGATAACTGACAGTCCTGTCTTAGGAGCCCAACGTCCAAAAAATTCTCAGCTTGACTGCTCCAAATTGGAGACGTTGGGTATTGGCCAGCGAACACCGTTTCGAATTGGAATCAAAGAGTCACTCTGGCCCTTCCTCATTGATAAGAGATGGAGACAAACAGTCTTTCACTAGTGTATGTGTTGTCTTTTTTTAAACAATAGAGTATGTGGCACTTTCTAAAGGAAATAGTTTTGTATGAGTGCTCTTTAGTTGTGACTTAGGATCTTTCAGGTAAACAATGCTCTTGCACTAGTGAAATCGTGTAAAGAAACTGAGGTCAATAATGCCTTGCTTGATGTAATGATGTTTCTTATCATTTTGTTTGTTCTGGCTTAATTTGCTGTTTGAATGTAGTAGATTATGATTGTTCAGTATTTGTGAGCTGGGATGAAACAGATCTGCTGTAGACTTTTTTTTTTGAGGGAGTGGGGATGAAATGCATTGTTCATTCCTCTAAACCTCTACATTTTCAGGACTATTGCAACTGTTGACCCTTTTCTGTTTTAAAGTGTTAAATATTATGAAAATCATTGATGTTCATTATTTGCTTTGCTTGAGCCCAGATCAAAATGTTTGAAGAAAGAAACTTTATTTTTGCAACTTAAGTGTGGTTTTTATGCTTGAGATATTTTCACATGTCATGTATATTTGTCACTCCTACAGCTCCATGCCTCCTGCTTGTGTAGCAGTGTATGGTGAACACTTGAAAGAGAATGTGTGTATGTGTCTGTATTTTTAAATATATATAAAACTGTTGTTTTCACTCCATGTCATTGATATTTCATATGTATGGTTATACTGATAATAATGGGCCTTGTAAGTCTTTTTGACCATTCATAAATAATAATAAATGTGTCTTGTTGGCATGGGAATGCTGAGTTTTCTTATTTCTTTTTTTAAATGTAAGGACCAACCGTATAGGCTGATTGTTATTTTGTTGCTTTAATTTAAAAATTACATTCTTATCATCTGATGCTTATAAGAGAATGTAGTTAAAATACATATTGAGTACAAAACACTAACACCAGAAATCTACCACTTGAGATCTAGACTGTTCCAGATATTATATCTACTGTGTCAGCTGGTTGGTTTTTACTAAAGTAACTAGTCTTGTTACATGTTTACATAAAATGTTTTTTCTGAAGAATGCAGAATATCTGAATGTATTAGCTGCACTAAGCGAAATTCAGGTGACCTTAGCCTCAACAATATCATTGGTCCTTAGGAAGATATGACTTGGCTTCTATTCAGGGGTTCATGCACACCCTCTTTTAGATTTTCCAATACCACTCATGGGGTATTCTAGATCTTATTCTCACTGGATAAAATGTCCTAATTTACTTAGAATTTGGGATTTAAAGAAGAGCCAGCTGGGGTGATTTGGTTAAAGCAGCAATTCCCAAACCATGCTATTTATGTGTATCATTAATTAGGGGATTATTCACCAATCGATACGTAAGCCCTAACCTGGGCCCACTGAAATAGAGTTTCTGGTCTTGATGTTTGCTAATTTAGGTTTAAATGTTCCCCACATGCTTCTGAGGTAGCCACCCTGGCATGTATATTTGAAGCATTGTGTTTCTTTAAGTACACTTCATGTGGTACAAAATTCAAATTTTTAGAGTTAGAAAAATCTTGATCTATTAAAAAACTAATAATTTTTATTCTGTACTTAATGTCCCAGTCAGTGTTCTTAGGTTAGTAATATCAGCTTCCTGAAAGGACACTAGAATGTTTATATTTTCCATTTGTGAGATATAATTAAATTTGATTTTAGTAAGCACCTTTGAATTTCCATTGCTTCAGGGTGTTGCTGACTGAATAGTACACGATAAGAAAATTAATATTAATGTCCTATATTTGGACATGTCAGGAATGGTCTGGGTGCCAAAATAGAATATTTTGCTATAGACAGTGTACTCATTTTCTATGTGGCTTTAACAAATTAACACCATTGTAGTGGCTTAAACCTACATTTGTTTGTTTGTTTGTTTGTTTTTGTTAATCCTCGCCTGAGGATATTTTTCCATTGATATTTATTTTATTTTATTTTTTTAAATAAATCTTTATTCATATTATTACAAAAGTTCCTCATTTTTTCCCCCCTCCACCAGGTTCCCACTCCACCCTCTGCCCTTTCCTCACCCCCCATTGTCCTCATCCATAGGTGCACAGTTTATGTTCATTCTCTTCCCACACCCCCCTCTCCTCTTTTCTCTGAGAATTGTCAGTCCACTCTCTTTCCGTACCTCTGATTCTATTATAATCAACAGTTAATATTGTTCATCAGGTTTTTTAATTCCCTTGGTTTTTAGATTCGCTTGTTGATAGTTACATATTTGTTGTTGATATTTATTTTATTTTAAAATATATATATTTTTATTGATTTCAGAGAGGAAGGGAGGGTGACATATAAACATCAATGATGAGAGAGAATCATTGATTGGTTGCCTCCCACACTAGTGGGGATCAAGCATGCAACCTGGGCATGTTCCCTGATCATATGCCTGGGAACTGAACCATACCACTGAGCCAGACCAGCCAGGCTTTCCATGGATTTTAGAGAGAGTGGAAGGGAGAGAGGGAGGTGGAGAGAGACTGTGCCACTGTTTGGTTGCCTCCTGCACAAGGGATTGAACTCAGATATGAGCCCTTGACTGGGAATTAACACTTTAACCACTGAGATTACCAGCCAGGACTCCAGTTTGTGACCTTGCAGTTAGTTCTGTAGATGAAATATCTGGTACAGGAATGACTGGGCTAACATCAGATGTCTCCAGGCTGCAGGCCTCTGGAGGCACCAAGAAAGAATGAATTTCCTGCTCATTTTGCTTGTGTCTCTGGGAACAAGGTCTCCACTTGCTGTTCATAAGCCATTGGCTGTTCCCAACTTCTACAGGTCACCATACCACATTTTTTGCCTGGGGCCCTCTTCATCTTCAAAGCCAGCTTCAGCTGGTTGATTCCTCATGTCCAATCTACCCAAGCCTTCTGTCTCATCTCTCTCACCACAGCTGGGAAAGTTTCTCTAGTTTTAAGGAAGCATGTGATTAGGTTGCATAGCCCAGAGAACCAAGCATAATTCCCTTCTCAAGGTCAGTCATTTTCTTGTTAATCCTCATCCAATGATATTTTTTCCATTGATTTTTAGAGAGAGTGAAAAGGAAGGGGAGAGTCAGAGAGAGAAACGTCTATGTAAAAGAGACATATCGTTTGTCTGCCTCCCACATGCACTCTGACCAGTCAGGGATGGAACCTGCAACCCAGGTATGTGACTTTGACCTGGAATTGAATTCCAGACCCTTTGATGTGCTGTCCCATACTCGAACCACTCACCACACTGGCCCAGGGTTCAAGGTCATAACCTCAGTCATGTCTACAAAGTCTATTTTTCCATATAAGGTTTTGGGGTTCAGAGTGTGGACATCTGTTGGTGACCAAAATCCTGCCTACCATGTAAATTAGATGCAATGTGTTCTGTAACTAAAAAATGAAATTATTTAGAAATGGCAGTTTGAAAACTCAAGGTAAAAACGTCCCATCATTTGCTTAAAACTGTTAAATCAGGGTAGCAGAAACACGACCAGCCTTTGACAGTTTTCCTTCCCCCCAAATCTGGTGGTTTTATTTTCATTATCATCTTTACTTAATCTTTGGTTAAGATACTTTCTTCATAATAACAAAGATGGTATTTTATTCTTTCGTAAATATTGACTGCATCTATCCGCAAAGTGTCAGCCATCCCAGTAGGACAGATAAAAATAGGACTTTTCCCTTTTTACTGTTCTCAGATATTGTTATTTAAATGGAAGCCAAATTAAAAATGGAGATTCTGAATAGTTAAAGAGGCACATGTTGCCTCTCTGCGCTCTCTCATACCCGTTAACTTCGGCGTGATCCTAAGACAGACTGGCACCATTGTCTGCTGTCTTTTGTCGCGCTCCAAAAAGCAGTTGATTATCTTGGAAGGGCTTCAAAAGCAATTAAGGAAATCCCTTATGTCAAGTTACAGAGCAGACAGGACAAATTAGATGTATGGGGAAATGTCCTGATAAAGTACTCGAGAAATAATGAGTCTGTGTACGATTTGTAATTGCTCCTGCAAAAAATTTACAACATAAGAGAGTCTGTTAACCTGAGACTGGAAGCTCTGAGATGTGTTTTTTTTTTTTTCTTTCTTCTTTTCTTATTACAAATGCAAATGCCTTATGAAATGGAGCCCAGAGCATTTTTAAATGTCCAAAAAAATGTAATTTGAAATGTTGTTTATTATATTTCTGCCTGGGCTCTTCAGTGCCTCGCAGGCTGCTTGGTGAGCGCTGATTTCTAAGCCAGCAGGTCTGCCATGAAAAATTGGCCTATTTGGCTCACCACGGAGGAGCGATGGCCTAAAGGCAGCTGAGCTAGAAAGAAGGTGAGGGCTCACCCCAGCGCCACAGAGGATGGCGAGGGACAGGGGTTGGAAAGACCAAGTTAGTTGTTGAGTGCCTGTGAGATGGTTGCATTCGGTTTCTTCTTTATGAATTGAGAGACGGATGATCTTCAGTCTGCATAACCCCATCCCTGTGCCCACAGAACCTCACCAGCTCCAATGGCCACCGTAATGAGCTGGTGGGGACAGAAGCTGGTGGTTTGAGGGTTGGTGGCTGAGGAGACTGTCACAGATACGTTAGCATTCAGATAGAGTACTTTCATCCCATCACTGGGAAATTCAAATGCAATTTCCTCCCCTTGTGAACCGCTATTCCCCTCTGAGTGAAATGACTTCAACTCTTCCAAACAACTTGGATTTTTGTCTCCAATAAAATAAAACTTACCCTCCCCTTAAAACAAAATTTACCCTAACTTTTGAGCAATGGCTGCACCCATTGCTAATTCCTTTTCCCCCCTTCCCTCCCTTGATAAACATTAGCAAGGGGGAAGTTATTGTAGGGTTATCATACAATATTTATAGGACACTTTTTTATTATTATTTGTGAAGTGTCTGAAGGTCTCTTAACTAGGAGCCGTTTCCAAATAACCTTGGGCTCATTTTTTCATCTTGATCCAAATCCCGCAGAAGCAAACCAATCATGAAACTCTAAAAAGTCATCGGGAGCCCCAGGCTCAGAACCCAGCTGCGGTGCGTGAAC